TTTGGCTGTCACTGGTTACTGAGACTCTGATCTGTCTCTGCTATATGGTGTCTATGTCTCTGGTGCTGTCTTGGTGTATGCTTCTACTGCCTTGGGCTCTGATTTGGGGTGCTGTATGCTTGAGTGGCTGCTGTTTGTATATGAGGTCTGTGTAGCTGTGTAGCTGCTGGGTAGCTGCTGTTGGTAGCTTTTGGCTGCGTAGCTGCTGGGTATCTAGCTGTTGGTAGTTTTTGGCTGCAGGGGAGCTGGTGTAGTTTGCAAGATTGGATGCAGTTTTGGAGTTGCTGCTAATGCTGCTGGTCTGATCTGTCATTCAGTTTTGTTTGAGTGCTGCTGCTGTGATGGATTTCAAGGTGCTGTGCTGCTGCTGAATCTGTTGTGATGTGTTGCTCTTTGGATGCTCAGTTATGCTGCTGAATCTGTTTAGCTCTGCTGATGCTAGCTAGGTGGTGACTATAGGTGAAGCTATTGAATTGGTGTTGAGTTCTCTGGTGTGTGGTGTTTTTTATTTTCTTTCTGGTATACAATTACATATGAGATGTACATTAATAAAGGAGTGGAAGAGCAGAAACGCATCAAAGCTAACTAACCCAATCCCAGCTAGGTTGGCACCGAATAGAGAGCTCAATCATCTGCAAGCTCAACCACAAAGGGATGGTGAGAAACCATGCCCAGAAAGAAAATAAAAAACACCACACACCAGAGAACTCAACACCAATTCAATAGCTTCACCTATAGTCACCACCTAGCTAGCATCAGCAGAGCTAAACAGATTCAGCAGCATATCTGAGCGAATCCGGATCCTCGGCCGCCCTACCCGGCAGCCCTACCCGGCAGGCCCCCAAAACGACGTCGTTTTGGGGGGCTGCGGGTAGGGCGGCCGAGGATCCGGATTCGCTCAGATATGCTGCTGAATCTGTTTAGCTCTGCTGATGCTAGCTAGGTGGTGACTATAGGTGAAGCTATTGAATTGGTGTTGAGTTCTCTGGTGTGTGGTGTTTTTTATTTTCTTTCTGGGCATGGTTTCTCACCATCCCCTTTGTGGTTGAGCTCGCAGATGATTGAGCTTTCTTCTTGGTGCCAACCTAATTGGGATTGGGTTTGTTAGCTATGATGCGCTTTTGCTCTCCCACCTCTTTATTGATGTTCGTCTCATATGTATTTGTATGTTTTTTGTCATCAATAAAGTTTTCTTTTGCCGATCAAACAAAAAAAAAAAAGAAAAATTTATGTGTAGATCCTAAGAAGTGAATTTATTGTCTAATAGGTTCTATGATATTTAATGGTATTTTTCATTAAACGCTATTAAAAGAAGTTACTAATTATTAATTTCAATGACAGATTAAAAATTGTCATGAAAATTGTTACTAATTACAAATTTTAACAATAGTTTAAAAAAATCGTCATAAAAAAGTCACTAATTATTTTCTTTCAGCAACAATTTAAAAAATTTGTCTCAAAAAAATGTTACTGCATGTTACAAATTATTTTCAATTGAGCTGTACTCAAGGGATGTGTTTTGTTTTGATGTCATTTTTTATAGATAAATTGGAGGGACGGAAACACATATTTTCTAACACAATAAGCAAATTATAAAAGTACAACTATGATAAAGCATTAAAAAATACATCTAGTTTTCATGACTTTATTTTACCTCATATCATGGAAAACCACAACAGTCAGTTTAAACATTATTCTTTGTCTTTTGTGAAACTCAATCAAAACTAAATTGGGAAAAAAATTCGAGTAGGCAAGATAATAGTATTAGCCGTTTCTTTATTGACAGTTGTGTCAGCATTATTTGTATATTAAATTTTATTAATAAAATTATTTCATTTTGCTAATAAATGAAAAAAAAAATAGCGAAACCCTTTCTCAAGCCTCCACCAAGTACTGCCTCTACATACTCGTTTAGTTTTGATTTTTTTTTTTTAATTTTATTTTGAATATATATATATGTCTATATATTTTTTGAGTTTTAAATGAATATAAAGGTACAAGATATGGAAATTCCTAAGGTATTTGAACTTTGTTGGGTTGTTCATTGATCACAGATTAAAGAAGTTAATATGTATGGTATTCTTTACTAATGAAAGGCTGTTGGTTATTACTTACTCTTCTTTATGATATGCACTATTACAAATGCTTGGGTCATGGCTGAATGGAAAATTCGGCCAATGTATGCGGCTGTAATTTATGAAAAATTTAAAAGATGATGTTTAATATGTGTGTATGTATAATGCTTTGTACACCTATTGCAGGTGAATCAATCACTAGAATTATTGTCAATCAACAACAATTGGATCATTCAATCTATACTACACAAGGTACGGAGTTTATATCTTAAAATTTTTTATGAAGCGGGTATTTTTTTTAAATATAATTTATTGTCTCTTTATGCTCTTTATGGGTTTGGTGAGGACAAATAACTATTAATTTATGTGATGCTGCCCCAGTGTGATCATTGGATATAAAATGCTTGTTGTTGCTCTGTTGCATAAAATTGTATATGTAGAATTGTATAGTAAGATTGGTGTTTACCCAGTTGCATAAATATCAACTTGGTCCCCATCACAAACTTGCTCCCTCTCATGCTTGTAGGTTCTCCCGATGATGAGACAATTGCCTTTTGTATGATTCAGGAATTTCAACATAATCTATTCAGAAGACAAAAAATTAAAAAATTCTCAATTTTGAAGTCCAAAATTCTCAATTTTGAAGTCCAAAATTCTTTTAGTTGTCACATTATAAGCTAAACTGAAAGCTAAATTATTAGCAACACCAAAATTTCAGACACCATTCTGTTGGGCCAATACACTCCCAACCACTGTCAAGTGTAAATTAAAATATACAAAAATAAATTAATTTACTAAGACAAAGAAAATAGACAGCCATAAGGGACACCCAGATTTATGTGAAAAACCTCCTATGTAGAGTAGAGAAACCGCGGTGCAAATATAATCTCCGCTATATCAAAAGAATGGGTTCACAGTATTTCTTGAGAGTATGCTCTCCACTGCACTCACTAGTGGCTAAACTCTCCAAATAATATGTAAACTCGAATTCTCTCAAAAAGGAGGTATACGACACACTCAAGGTTTTTTTTGCCCAAATTTTGAGGAATAAAGCAGAAGGAGATATCTCTCACTTGTCACTCCACTCAATTCTTGCTTTACTTTTCCAAAAAAAACTTCAATACAACGGTGATACCATGTCATTGGTATCACTATCCAATCATTTCTTATTTTTTACCCTTCAGGTATATGAGGTAAGACAATTATTGGGCTGACCCTCTGCATCATGTAACTTTATTGTTTGTTGGTCATACCATGTCATCGGTGTCACCGTTACACTGAATTTTTACTCCTGCCTTAGAAGCTCCCTCGAATGGGGTAGTTTATAGTTGAGATTGGGTCCTAGGAAAACCAAATCCCATCTGTCTGACCAGATTTTATTGTGCTATTTTCCTAGATAAAGATCTGCAGTAGAAAATCGGCAAATATGTTTGCTGCTGTATTTATTTCTACCCACCGAAAAAATTCATGCTTCACAACCTCCTTTTCAATTGCTTGAACTTACTCTTTCTTCAATTGTCAAAGAGCATTTACTATCTTTGAGATTTTGCATCAACATTTTCATTAATGATATTTGGTGAGGTGGACCGTAACACATTCCTTGAAACCAAAGAATTTCTCTTTTAAGCCTAGCTGTAGAAATATGAACCACACAACCCTAATTTGTTTCTTGATCAAGCAAACCAATAAAATCCTGTAAAGGATTTGCACAAAAATATGCTATGGAAATAGGAGGCAAAAAAAAAAAAAAAAAGACACCCACAAAACTATTCACAGCATATGAAGAAAGTTACACATTTCTTCCACAATGAAACTATGAGGCATGGAAAAGTGAAGAGATTTGAAGGAAAATTACAAAGATACTGTGTTTGCACCTATCCCTCCGAACACCAAGTAATTCACTTTTGCATAATCCATAAACCTGCCTCTGTTGCCAACACCCCTATTATCCACAAACTAAAAACAAAAAATTGCACGTTAGTAAATTTTATTTGATTATAAACGACAACGAATGACATCGATAAAATTGAATCAAAATCAAATAATTTAGCTATAAAATTGATATAACTAAAAAAGTATGGATTAAATTTGATTTTTAAGTGATAATTTGCATAGTAAAATAAAATTTTTATTTGTGATTATATTTTCATCGGAGTTGTTATTTGGTGGTCCGCATTGCTACATTTTTTTTTTGATCAGTAAAGAAAAATTTCATTAGCAACATGAAATTAAAGGTACATGAAGATGACACTGCTGGAAAATGCACTTTTAGCGACATTTTAAAAAACTAAAAACGTCGCTAATTCTTTTTGTGACGTTTAGTATTAAACGCCGACAACGCGACCGTCGCCATAGCTTTATGGCGTTTGGAAAACGTCGTTATATTAGTATAGGCGGCGTTTTTAAACATCGCCAAATGTCCTATCCTAATAGTACTATGACGTCACTAAGATATTTAGCGACATTTTTGAAACGCCGTCATAGATATTTAGACATTGGAAAATGAGTGAGGCCTCCCTTTTTGGAGGACCCCCACAACCCTCAAAGTGATGTACACCACTCATGACTGTAGATCACTTTGGGGGTTGTGGGGGTCTTCCAAAAAGGGGGCCTCTATCATTGTTGTTAGACATTTTAAAAATCTAGTCATTGGGGTTGGGATATAGGGACGTTTAAAAAATGCCGCCATAGCCTTTTCTTTTTTTGTTTTTTCTTTTTTAAATTGTGCTAAGCTTGACATTTAAATATAGCAACAGATATTTATACCTGCCATAAACAATTATTAAGAATTAATAATTGATGTATATTAAAATAATAAATACACTAAGCTTGAAAACAAAATTAAAAATAAGAACCAATGCATTGCATACCCAAGAATAGAAACAATTCATGTTCAGACTCTAAATACATCAATTAAAATCAAAATGGTCAAGAAGAAGTCAAATTACTTAAACTTCAAGAGTTGCTCTCATCAGTGTGAGATGAACAACATTTAAAAGAGATGATTTGCCAAAAAAATTGCACAGACCCCATAAGCTGTTTTAACAATTACAACCTTCAAGGCTCTCATCATAGCTACTGCTTTAAAAATGAACAAAGCAGCAACAACAAATATTAAAAATATAAGGATCTTACAAAAGTGACTCCCCAGTGGCATTGGTAGAGACTAAATAGAACTATTAAAAAAAATGTCTACACAATAGAAGAGACTCCCAAGTCCTCCTAGCAGAGCTACTTACATCCTCTGCTTAAGTGGCCTCCATCTGGACTCATTTCTGTCTTGATAAATTGCCAATTATTTATCTTCCTTTGTCACCACAATGACAGCTATGCTAGGTTTGTCTTCTATTCTACATCATTTGCTCCCAAGTATCATACAAGCAAAACTGAGAATTTACAATAGAGATGTTTCAACATTAGATAAATATTAGTATTCAAATAATTCATCGTTTTACCAGCAAAAAGCAACAAATAATTCAAAAGGCAGGCTCCAAATATGATGACAAGGTTTACATAATTAACAATGTGAAAGTATTCAAATAATTCATCGTCTTACCAGCAAAACCTTGCAACATTGTCATTACCCACTCAGCTACTTGCTGTATCGACCAAAAGGCACAGAATATTACCAAATATCCCACAAGATTTGGATTTTTTTCAAGGTACTACTTTCTAGGTTAATATATAAAAACTATGTGGCTGATTTGGCTTAATTCAAGTTTTTAATTTGTTTCCAAACTAAAAACAACCAAATTGTATCACTCCAATTTTTTCATTTTCCTCATTTTCAGGTTATCCAATCTCAATATCATGCAAAGATGTGTTGCGTTGCGTTTAATTTTTTCAATTTTTAATTTGTTTCCAACTAAAACCCACTCTTCTCTGTTTTCTGTCCTTTGTTCTAGGTCTTTTCCTAATCTACAATTGTTCACTAATTTCCAACACCAAATCACATCATGTCTTAATAGATTTAGAAAAGTGAGAAATTAAAAACTAGTGATGTTAGCACTTTTACCTTGTTAGTTAAACAAACAAAAAAAAAAAAACAAAACAAAACAAAAAAAAAAATAACAAAAACAACAAAAAAAACAAAAACCCCCAAAAAAAAAAAAAAACAAAATGATTGAGAGCCTAGCTGTAATGTATGGTAGGTTATTTATGCAATCAGACATATCAGTGAGCTACCAAGCAAGTGGGGTATGCGATGTAATTTGACAATGTTCTTCAATTCAATTCAATATCTAAGTTTGGCAATGTTATAATTTGGCATGAGCATTGACAGACCATTGGTGTGGAGTTTTAGAGAGGTCTTTGTTATAATTTGACTTTGGCTGCTGTAATAGCATCACACTGGAGTTTCACTAACAATGCATTCAATTTCTACTTATTTTTTCCCAATAGAACCATTTGGCCCAACTAGAATTGTCATTTCAATGCTATATCAGGATACAATTATAGATCTCAAATTGATCTCATTCCACTTTAATAAAGCACAAAGTATCAATCCATCATTGTAGGCTTTATCCTCCAATTCTTTGCTCTAAGAGCTTTTATATTCTCTGTTTTGATCAAAAACTAATTCAAAGGCTCACAACTAGTTAAACAGCTATGTACAACATGATCTACCTTCATCCACCTTTCTAGTCTCAAACTAACAAGGAGTTTTGTAAGACTGAAATAGCTTAATGCAAAATCATAGTCATTGAAGTAGTCTACAATGACAATGTCCACTTTAAGAATTGCATACATAAAGCATAGCTATGGCAGTGGCACCTGCACCATCTGTGCTATTTCAAGTTCAGAACTCTTTATGCATTCAATGAGTAAAAGGGACTAGTGATTAAATGATCTGCAAAGAAAACCAACTTGAACCATACACACAAAATCCAATAGCATGTACTGGACATAGTTGTTTGATACAAAATCCATCATTATACCCTATCTTAACACCTGTTTTGGTCTATTAAGACAATTCCCCAACAATGGTGAGGGAACCCCTTTCCAAAAAATATTAAGAATATATATATATATATATATAATCATAACTAAAGCAAAAATATTAGTGTTATTGATATCTAAATAAAAGATAAGGCCACCATCTGAAAAAATAAAAAATAAAAGATAAGACCCATTATCACATAAGATGATATCCAAAGAGCAATCATCAACCTAAAAAAAAAAAGTAGCCAAAATGTAGTGGTTGCTTTCAGTGCCTCTTGTCTTGTCCTGGCAATTCCCAGGAAAGAAAATGATATAATGCGACTAAAATGACATACACACGCACAAAATGGATTGTAAGACAGTTCGTTCAACCTAACAATACTTGAGCAACAAACAGCTCATTGGTTTTTCATTGGAAATTTCAATAAAAATTAAGCTACTTTATAATTGGTATTTTTAAAAATATCCTCTTCTTTCACACAAAAAAGCAAAGTTTTGTTATTAAAAGCAAATTCATGATAAACCAAGTTAACTAGTAGCATCAAGACCATCAAAACATTTCACACAAACAAAACATCAATCACTGAAACAGAGCAATACTATCGCATTGCAGAATCAAAACTTGGCAACAACCAAATCAACAAAACATAAGAGGGTTATAGTATATATATATAGAATCACTGAACCAACAGAAACAAAACAGAATCAACAACCAACACAAACAAAATAGAATCACTAAATTAGATTTACGATAGTCATACATATATATATATATATATAGAGAGAGAGAGAGAGAGAGAAATGGGTAGATCCGGACCTTTCTGCCTTCTCTCAATGCCTTGATCTCCGCATATGCAATGCCTTGATCTGCACAAATGAAAATCAACAACCAAATCAACAGAGAGACCTTCAAAATCGAGAGAGAGAGAGAGAGAGAGAGAGAGAGAGAGAGAGAGAGACCTTTGAAATCGAAAGACAGAGAGAGAGAGAGAGACCTTCAAAATAGAAAGACAGAGAGAGCTTTGAAATCAAAATCGAAATCACCGAGATGTCATTATGAGATAAATCCCAGAGCTGAAGCAGATTTTGAAGGATTCGATTGGTTTTTCTGAGATTGTAGACAGTAGTGCTCAAAGCTAAACGTCAAAATTGCAATCGCTCTGAGAAACTAGAAGATTGAAGCCATACGGATGCAGATAGGTTGGCTCTGAGAAATTTCGAAATCGCAATCGCTCTGAAGAAGAATTGAGAGAGAGCAAGAGAGTGAGAGATTTGAGTGAGTGATAGATTCGAACTAGACGGCTGTGGGTTTTTGAAAATAAAGGTTTGGAGAGACAAAATAGGGTTTGTAGGGAGACAGGACTTGGAGGTGTTTCCAAGCGTCTTCTATTCATAAAACGGGGTCGTTTTGATTCATCTCAAATGCGATGTTTTAAAAATGTTGTTAATTATTAGAAAAAGTGACGCTTAATATAACAACATTAATTAAACGCCGTTAAATCCCTAATTTCCTGTAGTGTGACATGCATTGAGAGAGATTCGAAAAGTATAAATTACTCCTACTATTACTATTTGCATCCATACAACTAACCCCTTCGCCTCACGAATTTATTTTATTTTTATTTTTTTGTGACAAAATAAGTTGGCATTGCTACATACTATTTCAAAAATTAACATAAAAATGTAGGTCCCATAATGAGGTAACAAAGCTAGCATGGCATTGACATAGGTATATATAATGTTTAAGAGTCAATGATGAATTTGTCTCATAATTTTTAATAGAAAGCACATGATTATGTTTTTTTTGCCTAGTCGTCCACGGTTACATGATGTATAATTCTTCAACTGCATGGACCCATTTTTTATTAAGTAAATTATTGTGACCATTTTTTAGATTTGTAAAAAATATAATAAATCTTGTAAGTTCGGTATATAATTATATTGGCTTATCTTTGAATAAGATTAAGGGAGACTTATGTGTAGGTCATAATATGTGAACTTATTGTCTAATAAGTTCTATGATAATTAATGACGTTTTTTATCACACTATTAAAAAATGTCACTAATTGTTAATTTTAACAACAGATTAAAAATTTTGTCATAAAAAATGTTACTAATTATAAGTTTTAGTAACAGTTTAAAAAAATCGTCACAAAAAAGTTACTAATTTTTAACTTTCGGAGACAGTTTGAAAAATTCGTCTCAAAAAAATGTTACTAAATGTTACTAGTTATTTTTAATTGAGCTATACTTAAGGGATGTGTTTTGTTTTGTTGTCATTAATTTTGTATTATAAGTATCAAATAAACACATTTTTTATAGATGAATTGGAGGGACCGAAACACATATTTTCTAACACAATAAGCAAATTATCAAAGTACAATTATGGTAAGGACTTTTCTTAGGTGTGCCTTGCATATGGTGTGCAAGGCATTTACACCATTTCTATTCTGCATTTACACCTTTTATGTATTGGGTTATATGACATTTTTTGAAAGTTTACACATTGGAGACCTGCTAAACGGGTCACTTTGCAGGTAAATTAATTAAATAATATAATATATTAATAATTTCATAAAAGGTCATAAAAGGTGTAAATGTGAAAATACTTTCAGAAATGAGTGTGAACTTTCACAAAATGATGTAAGTGTTTTGACGAAAAGGTATAAACTTTCAGAAATGAGTGTAAACTTTCAGAAAATGGTGTAACTATTTTGACGAAAATGTATAAGTTTAGAAAATTTTCAGAAAATGGTGTAACATTTCAGAAAAAGGGTGTAAAATTTAGTTTAGCGTAAATTTTATCGACAAATAACAGTTTAGTCGCTAAAGGTTGAAAATTTTATTACCATCGGCCCCTCTCTTCTCTGTTTCCCACCAACACTTTCTCTGTTCTCTCTCACACGCACACAGAATAGTCACCACCAATCTTGACTCCCGTTGACCACCCAAGCGTCAGTGGCCTTCGGTGCTCACCGTCGTCTCACATCGCCACCGCCACCACCGCTGCCGCTGCCGCAAATCAAAGGTTTTTTTTTCTCTCTCTCTCTATCGATCTTGGTCTCTCTTTGTCGATGTCGGCCTTTTCTCCGTTAATGTCGGTCTCTCACTGTCTATCCCGGTCTATCTCTAGCGATCTTGGTCTGTCTGTGTCGATCTCGGTCCCTCTTTGTCGATCTTGGTCTGGCTGTCTCTGTCGATCACTCTCTATCTCGGTCTCTCTGTTTGTCAATCTCGGTTTCTCTGTCTGTCTCTCTGTCCCTTCCTCTATATTAAAAATGGTTTTCTTTTACATTGACATACTTGGTTGGATTTCGACTTGGGGTCGCTATTCCAAGCCCTCCCAAACTCGTCTTCGCTGAAACAGACTTCTACTGAGAGAAAGACCAAGGCCTCCAAAACGCCTCTTATCTCTCACATTGCCATTATTTGAATAAGACGAATACAGTTTGATTGGATTTTAGGAACTTACACGTTTTGTGAAACGGAACTTACACATTTTTCGAAGTTACTTACATCTACTTGTGAAAACACTTCCCGCTAAACTATTTGTGGAAGGTTAACACATTTGATAGAGATAATTAATTTGTAAAAATTTACACGCTTTTCGTTGATCTTAACTTTTTGTGAAAAGTTACTACTTTTGTAACCATTTTTATTAAAAAATTACACCTTTTATGCAGTTACACATTTTCTGAGAACAGAACTACACTTTCTATCAACATAACTTTACATCTTCTGTAAAAAATTTATCACATTCCTATGGAAATATGTTTTCATAAGTTTAACACTTTTTTGTAAAAAATACAATTTTCTAAGTTTTACACCTGTGTGGAATAATTTACACCTTTTTCTGAGAAGCTACTCAAGATATAGTGACATAATTCTTTTTCTGAAAATTTACACCTTTTGTGACATAACATTACATCTTTGTAAAAATTTTACTCTTATGGAAAATAATGTTTGAATAAGTTTACACCTTTGTTAGAAACTTACACCTTTGCTGAAAGTTTACATCATTGGGGGAAATATGTACACGTTTTCTGAAAAGTTACTCCTTTTGTGAAATTATTTTTTCCATAAAATTTACACGTATTATTGGAACTTACACCTTTTCTGAAAACAAAACTAACACCTTTTGTCACATAACTTACATATTTTGTGCAAACATTTACACGTTTTATGAAAAGTTACACCTTGTATGGAGAATATGTTTTCATAAAGTTTACACAATTTGTCAAGAACTTACACCTTTTCTGAAAACAAAACTTACACCATTTGTGACATAACTTACATCTTTTGTGAAACCATCTACAAGTTTTTTGAAAATTTACACCTTTCATGGAAAAAATATTTGCATAAAATTTTTACTTTTTGTTAAAAACTTACACCTTTTCTGAATGATTACTCCTTTTGTGAAAGAACTTTTTCCATAAAATTTACACCTTTTATGAAGCTATTTACACATTTTTTAAAAATTTACACCTTCTATGGGAAATATGTTTTCATCAAGTTTACACATTTTTTTAAAAACTTACACCTCTTCTGAAAAGTTACTCCTTTTGTGAAACAAAAATTTTAAAAATTTTGTGAAACAAAGATTTAAAAAAATTTTACACCTTTTAATAGGAGTTACACCTTTTCTGAAAACAAAATTTACACATTTTCTGACATAATTTACATCTTTGGTGAAGACAATTACACCTTTTTTGAAAATTTACACGTTTTACGAAAAATATGTTTTGATAAAGTTTGTTAAAAACTTATACCTTTTATGAAAGTTTACACTATTTGGTGGAAATACTTACACATTTTCTGAAAAGTTACACCTTCTGTGAAAAAAAATCTTTCATTAAATTTACCGCTTTTATGGGAGCTTACACCTTTTCCGAAAACCGAACTTACGCCTTTTGTCAAATAACGTACATCTTTTGTGAAAAAATTTACACATTTTTTGAAAATTTACACATTCTATGGAATATATGCTTTCATAAAGTTTACATGTTTTATAAAAACTTACACCTTTTCTGAAAGTCTACACCTTATGGTGACAATACTTACACCTTTCGTCAAAGGTTACTGTAGACCGCCCGAAACTCTCTCCATGCAGCCTCCCTTTCGGAGAGGGCGCGAATTGTGTTCCTGCTACTACAGTTCGGACTCCCGCCACGGTTCTGAATCTAATCTCACAAAGTGCAATGTAAGGCTGATAAATCACCAAAGAGTCCAAATCCAACAATTGGTTTTGAAAAATCAATTTTAAATCAAAAGCGCCAAACATGGACTGCTTTGCCAGATTTCAGAGTCGTCACCTAAATATTTTATTTTGGGAAATTTAGGAAACCCTGACTCATGCCTAAAGCCACGTGTCCGTCATCACCAAAGTTGCCTCGGCTCGGGAACTTGGGTACGAGGGGGGAAGGTCATGAAATGAGCACCCCTGCTCGCCCGATCAAAGATCGGCCTCTACTAAACATGATATGTTGTTTCATAAACACATGTGTTCTTATTCCGGTTTATTAGCTAACTTACTATGTGATGCGCTTAGCATACAAGTATAGACTCAATCACGCGGATTGGAACAAAACAACTCATGTTTGTTTTTCGAAAATGGCTTGAAAGTGCTACTCGCAAGTAGGCTAAAGCGCGGATTTTCCACCCTCAAGTGGGCTTAGAAAAACATGATTTTGCCACTCCGCAAAGTGGACTTAAAACTCATAATCAACGAGTTGTTCCAATTCAGGCAATCAAGCCTTCATCCACAGGCATTCATGCAGTTAATCACTTAAGCACATAGTCTCATGGCAAGCATGCTATCATGGCAACACCTACACTCATGCGAAGATGCTAAAGCGTAAACACTTACAGCGTAGTTCGAGCCAAAACAGAAAACTAGTTAGAAACAATGCATGATCCTAACTATACAAGATGCCTAATGCAACACATGCAATAATGCAACTAAATAGGCTTGGCTACCTACTATGGCATATGAATGCAATACTTGATAACATGCTATGAAACACGTATTCAAGTAAGTTTATTGAAATACAATGCAGTTTGAATGATGCGCCGAGCCCGGTGCATGCGAGACAAATGAATGATGTACGCATGCAAAGCATAAGGTATGCTAATTGAAATATGTCCTAAACTAACCATCAAAAGCTGATAAGTAAAAGAGATAAAGAAATGGGGTTGGAAGACATGCACACACACACACACACACACTTATTACAACAATACGCCCTCTCGTAGGACGGTCCGAATAAATAAGAGCTAAGTTAAGCTACTTATTGCAAATCAACTAATTAACTATGCTAAGCTAATTAGAATATTACAAAGACGAATTAA